ACAGGCAACAACATCACCAGAATTCAAGTTGAGAGGCAGTTTGAAAGCCGAATGTGCTGTACAACCGCCTTCTAGAAGCATTGACGCAATTAAAGATGATGCAACAGCGAGAGCAATTTGGCCTTTTCTTCTTACGTCCGCCAACAGCAAATTCATTAGAAAAGTCTTACGGGGACCACCTGGTGCATCCAAGCAAACTATGGTTCCTTGTTGCTGGGCGATTCTGTTTGTAACAAATTAGAACACATCAAGTTGTCCCGGTGAATGTTCCGGTAAATTTCCTAAAACATGGTTCTGTAGGTCAGTAGTATTGTATGGCATCTCTTTGAGAACTTCTGTATTGACATTGACCTCTTGTTGAGGTGTGGAAAGGCCAAATGAACTCAAATCTCTACCACACATAGTCGAAACCAGAGATGCAATTGCCAGTAACGCTTCATTTTAAACTACCTCATTATAAAGTGTACCTGGAACTTATCAATGAAAACACACCAATATGTCTTCAGCCATGTCGTCTTTAAGCGTTTCCCAAAGTTGTAGGAGGTTTGATAGCCCACATGTGCTCGCCAGGATCGCATTTATGTCTGATGCGTTGTAGAGAGCAAGTCAGAACAGCATAACGTATTGTGGATTCCCAGCGGTTATCACGATTGAGCAAACCATGGGCCTCACACATGTGTGTATGGCTTCCAACAGCTCTTAAGTGCTTAAAGGAAGTAGAACCACATACACTGTGAAGTAGCAAACGTAAACAGTAGCACTCAAAGTTAACATGATGAACCGTGGTACTCATCCTAGGGCTTCTGAGTATTTTAAATCAGGCTGATTCTCCACCGAAAAGCCAATACCGCGACGCTGGAACTCTTTTCGTGAAGCATTCCAAGTGTAGTAGTGGGGGTACTTCATTGTAAAGAAGGGTCCTAGCAAATTCGTCATTAGTACACAACTCAAAGAATGCAGTAAATATAGTATCTCTTGGGTGTTAAATATTTAGTAATTCAACTAAGGACATTTAATAAAATATTTATTTAATAACATATGAACTATATACAGTCAAATATAAACAATTAATCAAGTAGTATTAACATTCAAGTCAAGTTTTTAGTTCAGTTATTGAAAGGATACAACAGCTGATATGATGACATCACTGTCCAAAGTTCACTACAGCACTTCGTACTAGTCAGTTCAGTTTAGACTCACCTCTCTCACAGTACACAGTGCTTACCTTTTGGTTTAGTTCATATTAAATATTTTAATCTCTCTTTCTCTCTTACCGCTCCAAGTGCATTATTTCATCATTTCTCATTTAAATATGGATTCCAAATTTATAGTACCAAGTGTCAAGCTAGGATCCAAGAAGATATTTTTATTTAAAGTAAATGTGTTGTAAATTTTCGTGTACAGTCCAGAATATTCATGAGTAGTGAATTGCTTTCGTTTTATTAATGAAGAAGAGTTTTAATTTAAATCAGTGAAGAATTACATACTACACAACAATAGTCATTTCTCAACATCATCTTTCATCTGTGGTCCTTCGATTCTCGTCACTCTGGCCAGAGCCATCGCTTCTCTGCTCATCTTGTTCCTGTTCTACCAAAACCCTAATGGATCTTCAGTTTTAGGATCTAAAGGTATTTCTCACAATTTTACCTCTTAATACCATATTTAACATGGTCCTTCGAGCCGGAAGTTTCCCAGCCTATGGAAAATAATCGACTGTGACTATTAAGTTTTGTATTTATTTGAACTGAATAAATTAATTGAATAAATCTGTCATCAACATTAAGTATCATTAACAAGAGGATTAAATATTTTTGATCACATTATTATCAATTTATTAAATTGTTGCAGTAATTTGTGAAATAACACATAAAGTTTTGTTGTCCCAGACAGAAAATTTTGTTCTCAGACTGTACTGTCTACAACTCCTGTATTTTCATGCATAGTTTGTCTATTCTCTATTGTGCATTATCGGGCTGCATCCTGTCTGCCCCCCTCTCTCCCCCCTGTAATGTGAAACAAGTTTCTCTCTTGTTGCTGAATATTCAGAAAATCATGGAAGTCATACCAACTTCACAGCTGATCAACACTAGCGCTGCTGATGGATAGAAATGAAAACTTAAATGTCATTATGCAAGACTTTGTTTATGTTTTCATAACCTCAATTGTTTGCTTACACTTTTAAATTAAAGTGACAGAAGAATGTTTATTAATACGGATTGAACATTTAATTACAGTTTGTGTTTGAAATAACATGTTTTATTGAATTTCAAATTTATTATCTGGAAATAATTGCAGGTAGATATTTTCTGGGACTTAAACTTTTTATAGGCCTATACTATGGCTGAATATTTCTCTCTGATTTCAAGTTGACTAATATTAATATTTAATACAATGAATCCTGGCTGTCTTTAAATAAGTTTTGCTCATTATAAACTTATTTTAATCTGCATTTATTTTTATTTTGGAATTTTATTGAATTTAAGACTTATTCAAAATGAGGTTCTCAACTTTTGTGAAGCAATCTGAGCTTGTGCTAGCCAGGCTTAAGTCAATTGAAGCAAAAGTGCTTGCTATCGAAAAGGAACCTATCACTCCTCAACTTATAACAAAGCTCACTCTTTTGGATTCCACCGCTACAGCCAAAAATAATGATTTTGACAAATTAGTGAATAAGTTGTTCGGCACTGTGCCTTTACCTGAGGAATTAGATGAAAGTGAAAATATCACTACAATTTCAACATTACAAGATGAAATAAGTGATCTCTATGTGTCTATTCACTCTTTGTGTGTGAACTTGATACCTTCCCCAAGCTCTAACCAGTCGAGCCAGCCAAACCTGGATGATTCCAATGCAGCTATCAGCCAAGTAGCTACAACTAAGGTTAGTGTACAGCTTCCTAAACTTCAACTTGGTACCTTCTCAGGTCAACATGAAAAGTGGATGGCGTTCAAAAATTTGTTTGAAAATACTATTCATAAAAATGATAGTATTTCTGGTGTTGAAAAAATGAGTTATTTGTTAAGCTGTCTTGAGGGAGAGGCACTTTCAGTTGTTAAAAACATCCCTATGACTAATGCTAATTATTTTATTGCATGGGAATCTCTACTTAAAAGGTATCAGAATACAAGATTACTAATCTCTCTTCATGTCAACAATGTGTTAGACTTACCAGTTCTTCACAATCCCTCAGTGAAGCAACTTAGAAGGTTTTTGTCTGTTTTAAATGAAAACATTGAAGCACTTAAAGCTCTAGATGAAGAAATTTCTCAGGAAAATTTAATTTTGACCTCTCACTTGTTAAGAAAATTTGATTCTGATTTTCGCCACCATTTTGAACAGAGTCGAAGTGATAACTCTGTAACTCCTAAGTTAGATGAGTTAACCAAGTACATTGAGTCTCACTGTGTAAATCTTGAAGCAGCTAATCTTACTAATGTGGGATCATCTCTTAAGGGTACCTTAGGCCACCACACTCAAGTAAAACCCCCTCAGCGCTCAAATAAATCGGCGCTTATTGCAACTCCTCGCACTGTTTGTACATTTTGCGCAGGTGCAGATCACAAAATCTATCAATGCAAAGGTTTTCTTAAATTGACTTCACAAGAAATGTATAATTTTGTTAAAGGCAAAAATTTGTGCACCAACTGTCTTGGCGATAAGCATAAGGTAAAGGAATGCAATTCATGGCGTACATGTTCTACGTGTAAAAGAAAACATCACTCTCTTTTGCATTTTATGGATTCTGAAAATAATCCCTCTCCTAATGTGTCTAAAGGTAACACAGACAAACGAGCTCCAAGTTCTGACTCAAATAAAAATGAATCTGGTTTTGTTGGTTTGACAAATACAGAGAACACAGTTCTTCTTGCCACTGCTTTAATTGTGGTAAAATCAAGCGAAGGTAAGACCCTAGTTTGTAGGGGAGTTTTAGATTCTGCTGCTCAGTCTACCTTCATTACTCAAAGATGTGCTCAGTCTTTAGGGATTAAGCGCTCTCATGCTAATAAAACGCTTATTAATGGCATCTCGTCTGCTCAGGTGAAAACAAAAGGGTTAACTCATGTCACTCTCCAGTCCCTTAGTGGATATGTATTGGCAAGCTCTCACCCTGTCTTCATTTTGGATAATATCACTCCAGATTTACCTCGAGCTAAGATCACTCCTGAAGTTCGCTCACAGAATATATCCTACTTTTGATAAACCCGCTCCTATTGATGTTCTAATTGGAGCTGACCTTTTTGCCTCCTCTGTGAAAGGCCAGTTTTTGTCACTTGGTGAGAATATGCCTGTAGCAATTGACACCATTTTCGGATATGCGCTCTTAGGATCGACCCCTGTTGCCTCAACTTGCAAAAATTCATTTCATGGATTAGTCACACTCTTAACCACCAATAGTTTGGATCTTCACACCTCTATCCAACAGTTTTGGGCTGTAGAGGAACCCCCTCTTACAAGCAAGCAATCCTTAGCCGAAGAAAAATGTGAAAAACATTTTGTATCTACGCACTCTCGCACTCCTGAAGGAAGATATATTGTCTCTTTGCCTTTCTCAGACGATCCGTCAACATTAGGCAACTCGAGCAAAATGGCAAAATCCCTATTCTGGTCTCTGGAGAATAAATTTCGTTCTAATCCTGATTTCAAGGAAACTTATGTTGATTTTATGAGAGATTACTTGTCTTCGGGACATATGACACTCTGTCAGTCACCACGTCTTAAAAATAATCCTCATTACTACCTTCCACATCATGGAATTTTTAAAGATGGAAAATTAAGGGTAGTATTCAACGCATCAGCACCTACATCAACATCTCTGTCTCTCAACAGTATTCTTCATCAAGGACCAAAACTCCACAACAACATATGTGACATCATTCTCAACTTTCGCCGACATGCGGTTGTTTTTTCATGCGACATCAAGCAGATGTTTCGACAAGTCCTTGTAAAGGAATCTGATCAGATATTTCAACTTATTTTCTGGAGAGAGAATGATAAAATGCCTCTTCAAATCTATCAGCTAGCGACTGTCACTTATGGGCTCACATCATCGCCCTACTTGGCAAATCGTGTCATTCAACAACTCATTATTGATGAAGGAAAAAATCATCCTCTAGCCGCAACTGCTCTAAAGGATCAGATTTATGTCGATGACGCCCTATTGGGTAGTAATTGCGTAGAAAACGCTCTTTTGTTGAAAAATGATGTGGTTCAGTTACTCAAAAAAGGAGGTTTCGAGTTAAGAAAATGGTCTTCGAATAATCCATTACTCTTACAGTCGATCCCTGAAGATCACAAAGAAAAACCTATTGGTTTTCGAGCTCCCGAACAACCAGTTCATAGTGTTTTAGGACTTAAATGGATTCCTAATGAAGATGTTTTTTCTTATTCTGTAGGAACTCAAAATATTAAGGAAACTCCTACAAAAAGAATTGTTTTAAGTGTGATATCACAGATCTATGACCCGTCAGGATGGTTAACTCCTGTAACCTTCTGGTCCAAATCCTTCATGCAATACTTATGGACACTTGGTCTCGATTGGGATGAACCCCTAGACGACAGCGTTATATCAGTTTGGAACAAGTTCGCCAATGAACTTCCATATATTGAAATGCTCAAGATACCTCGCTACGTGGGACTTTCTTCAGCTAAAGATATTCAGCTACATGCTTTTTCTGATGCAAGTGAAGCAGGATATTGTAGTTGTGTTTACCTGAGAGTTGTAAATTCACAAGGAATTATATCGACTTATCTTCTGATAGCGAAGTCAAGAGTCGCACCTCTGAAGCGTATTTCCATACCTCGCTTGGAGCTCTGCGGAGCACACCTGATGTCTAAGCTCCTAAATTACTGTATACAACTTCTCTCACCTCACTGCAAGATTAGTTCATACACAGCTTGGTGCGATTCCACAATCGTGCTTTCATGGATTGGCATGCCCTCTTATCGACTCAAGGTTTATGTGTCAAATCGAGTTGCAGAAATACAGGAAAATATCCCACCTTCATTTTGGCAACATATTTCATCACTAGAAAATCCAGCGGATGTTGGGTCAAGGGGTACCGCCCCACAAGATTTGATTAACCACACACTTTGGTGGAATGGACCTGTCTGGTTGTGTAACTCTGAAGAAAATTGGCCAAAGTCTGTCTGTAAATCTTTACCTGAAGAGTCTATCCCTGAAACTAAGATTCTCACAGTTAACACTCTCTCTGCTGTTCCGGATGAACCATTTTCTCTCCTCACTCGCTTCTCATCTTGGACAACACTACTTCATGTTTCCGCATACCTGCTGCGCTTCATTCATAACACCAGAAATAAAGTTAAACAAATTGGGAATTTAACTTCTCAGGAGATAAAAGAGGCTCATAACCTGATTTGTAAATTGGTTCAACGAGAATATTTTTCTGAAGAAATCTCATGTTTGAAATCCAATAAACCTTGCTCTGTACGCATTAGACGCCTAGCTCCTTATCTGGATAAAGATGGCCTCATTCGAGTAGGGGGAAGAATAAACAAGGCTGATATCTCTGAAGATCACAAACACCCCGTCTTGCTACCTAAAGGTCATAGGTTAGTTGATATTTTGATTGACCACCATCATGTCTTATATTTGCACTCTGGTCCAACTCTAACTCAGGCTATGCTGGCAAACAAGTACTGGATTCTCAGTGCTAGAAGCTTAATAAGATCTAGGATCTTTAAATGCATAAAATGTTTCAGATGTAAACCTCCTCATTCTTCTCCACTCATGGGGGAATTACCTATGAATCGAGTTACACCTTCAAGGCCATTTTCCATATCTGGTGTAGATTATGCAGGACACTTCTTTGTGAAGCAACATCTACTAAGACGAGTTCAACCTATCAAGGTTTATATTTGTATATTTATTTGCTTCTCTACTAAGGCGGTACACATAGAAGTAGTAACCGACCTAACAGCGGATGCCTATTTAGCCGCTCTTACCAGATTTGTCTCCAGACGAGGAATCGTTTCAGATATTCACTGTGACAATGCTACAAATTTCACAGGTGCATCCGAAAAACTCAGACGCAACTTTGAAAATTTAATCAAGGATTCCACAGTACAATGCTACGCTGAGAATTTCAATATTAAATTTCACTTCTTACCTCCACATGCACCTCATCAGGGAGGCCTTTGGGAGAGGGCCGTCAAAAGTGTGAAATTTCACCTAATAAGAGTCATTGGACAACAGACCCTGTCACTGGAAGAGTTTTCGACTTTAATCACCCGTATTGAAGGAATGATGAACTCTAGGCCTATAACTCCTCTTTCTTCTGATCCCTCGGACCTAGAAGCTTTGACGCCAGGTCATTTTTTAGTAGGTGGTCCTCTTATGACACCTCTTGAACCTGACTTGCGTAGCATTCCTATCAACCGATTAAAACGCTGGCAGTTAGTCCAACAGTTCAGTCAACATATCTGGGCTCGCTGGCAGAAAGAGTATCTGTACACTCTTCAAGAGAGAAATAAATGGGTCAACCCCAAGAAGAATATTGAAGTCAATGACTTGGTTGTCATTCATGAAGACAACTTGCCTCCACTCTCCGGGAAGCTTGGACGAGTTCTCTCCGTTTCACCTGGTACTGATGGAATAGTACGGGTCGTGCACCTGAAGACCGCAAGTGGACACCTCTCTCGTCCTGTGACAAAGGTGTCTGTCCTTCCTATGGAATAGTGAAGAGGAGTTACCACCCCCCTTTTTTATTGATTTTCTCATTTTTTGTGTTGTTTTCAGAACCCAGGGGTTCAGGGGGGGCCGGTATGTTAAATATTTAGTAATTCAACTAAGGACATTTAATAAAATATTTATTTAATAACATATGAACTATATACAGTCAAATATAAACAATTAATCAAGTAGTATTAACATTCAAGTCAAGTTTTTAGTTCAGTTATTGAAAGGATACAACAGCTGATATGATGACATCACTGTCCAAAGTTCACTACAGCACTTCGTACTAGTCAGTTCAGTTTAGACTCACCTCTCTCACAGTACACAGTGCTTACCTTTTGGTTTAGTTCATATTAAATATTTTAATCTCTCTTTCTCTCTTACCGCTCCAAGTGCATTATTTCATCATTTCTCATTTAAATATGGATTCCAAATTTATAGTACCAAGTGTCAAGCTAGGATCCAAGAAGATATTTTTATTTAAAGTAAATGTGTTGTAAATTTTCGTGTACAGTCCAGAATATTCATGAGTAGTGAATTGCTTTCGTTTTATTAATGAAGAAGAGTTTTAATTTAAATCAGTGAAGAATTACATACTACACAACAATAGTCATTTCTCAACATCATCTTTCATCTGTGGTCCTTCGATTCTCGTCACTCTGGCCAGAGCCATCGCTTCTCTGCTCATCTTGTTCCTGTTCTACCAAAACCCTAATGGATCTTCAGTTTTAGGATCTAAAGGTATTTCTCACAATTTTACCTCTTAATACCATATTTAACATTGGGTTTTGTAAAACGTAATACAGGTTATTGTTATTGAAGTAAACCCTCTGGAAGTTCTCAAGGTAAACACTCAGATGAGTAACAGTGGGGTGTCTTTCACTAGAAACCCAAAGATACACCATGCTGCCTCGTTAGAACTCAAGTAACGTCCTGACTGGTAAAGAGTTACCTCATCTCTGGTGCAGCCTCCCTCAGCAGATTGCAATAATTCCCAGCTTAGTTGCTTCCATTGTTTACATAGTTGCATATATATTTTATACTCTTCAATGAACTACAGTATTCCGCATTAGGAATTGAAAATCTTTGTCAGAACTGGTTTGTATAGTACAATCCAACGGTTGTTAATATGCGCAAATCCTCGTCCTGATACATCGATTTCAGAAGAATGTCCACCGTAATTTGTTGATCACTTTCTGTACAAAGGGTACCCATTATAGCTGGTATATATCTCAATCATCATCTATCTAGGATATATCTTTGTACACTTCCCGTCTCTCTTGAAAGGTGACCAAGTGGTAAGCCCACTATTTGACCAATATCATTAGAACATACTGTTTCATTGTTGGTGTTTCAATCTTAGCACACATATCTACAATAAACTGATTAAACAGTTGTCTGTAGCAAATGATTGGGTTGAAGTTTTTTTTGACAAACCATTATAACGTACACATAAAACTACATTGCAGTAGCAATTTAGAAGTTGGATGTTTGAAAAACTTCTACCCACTCTAAGGAGGCATCAACACAATATCGAACATTTAGAAAAAAAACTAATGCATAAAACAATAGCTAAACATAAGTTACAACAAGTGTTTTGTTTATTTAAAAGCACAAACACAGATTCTAATAAAAGAACATATGGATTTATCGATGTTCCAAAAGGAAGTTTGAAGCATGCTAAAAAGCGTTTGCCGCCTTTAGAATTTGAAATCTGCTATAAATTTGAATACACCCATGATGGTGGTACAAACGTCACGAATGTTCTCAATGACATCCACAAGAAACAGCATGTCTGTTCTGTTATACAGCATGTGTATTCTTTTAAAATTTTGATCTGGAAACTCTCCCACACTCTGCGGGCGTGCTCGTAGTCGCTATCCTCAATGTTGAATTTATTTAGTTTGTTATAAAAGGACTCTTTCGGGGGTAAAGTGGTCTCATCAAACATTTCAATACAGTCCATATAATCGTACAGATATACTCCTTTTTTACACACCAGTTCTAGTTTATCCTCAGTAAAATATTTTCAAGTGTGTCAATTAAACTATCTAGGCTAGAACGCACAAATCTGAATGAATCTAAAAAGCATAAATTTACACCACCAGGGACAGCCACCTCAAAAGATATGTATTTTTCTTCATTATTAGGCACAACAAAAATGTTTTCATGTGATTGGCTGATGGATATTTAACAATATTTTAATATCTAGAGTTCAAAGTAGCATTCCATCTTTGGCCTCCACCGCATCATGTTGTCCTTATCTGAGCTCTCAATCAGAAAGATTTGCACAAACTTCATCCTTTTACCTCATCTAAAAGAATGTGTATACCTTCCATCAACACTAAAGCAGGAAATTTTAAATTATCACAGAGACAATTGTGGCTATGTAACCCTAAACTACTATGAGTCTATTCAAAATCATATTAGGTTGTGTATTGATTGCGGAAAAATGGCCGATTTTCCTTCTTATTTAAAGCAAAGTGGTAACCACATGTATCCAAAGTTTAAAGTTCCAAAAGAAACATGCCACATTTGTCTAGCTCCTTTATTTATCTTTCATAAAGGCAGCTGTAAATACTGTAAATTCTAGATGAACATAAAGACCACAAAAACTAGAAATAAAAGATGGTTGTCTACATCAAAATGTGCAGTTTGCGGCAGCGTGAAACACTCGTTTATAAAGGAGCCATATGAGGTTTTAGAAGCCAAGGAGTTGCACAGGCCGGTTATTAAAAAGTTCATTAAACGCCGAATAGTCACCAAGGGTATCGACGATTTGTGGGCTGCAGATTTACTAATAATGAAGCAGTACGCTAGGGAGAACAAGTGGTACAAGTACATTTTAAATGTCATAAATACATTTAGCAAATTCGTTTGGTCCGAACCTTTAAAGAAAAAAGACGGGGCAGAGTTGACAACAGCTTTCGAGAAGATTATAAAAAGAGCAAACAGTGATGGTCATAAAGCACCAAAGCTTTTACATACCGACAAAGGTACAGAGTTTAAAAATAAACCATTCAACAACATGTTGAGGAAGCATAATATCAAACTATACCATACAGAGAGTGAAGAGAAGTCGGCAATAATCGAAAGATATCATAGGACATTGAATGAGAAACTTAAAGTGAAATTCCAAGTCCGACAATCCCACAAGTGGTACGATATACTACAAGAAGTCACAGATGAGTATAACCAACACGATTATCACCACACTATTAAAATGAGACCAGTAGAGGTCAACAAAGATAACGAGGCTGATCTATTAAAAATGTACATTGAGCGCGAACACAAAATTCGTAAAAACAGCAAGTTCGACCTCGGTGATAGAGTTCGTATCACGACGAAAAAAGACGTGTTTGCGAATAAATATAAACAAAACTGGACTTCGGAGATATTTACAATAGCACGAATTCTAAACACTAGACCGGTTACTTATAGGATCGCCGATCAAAATGGCGAGGAAATTATAGGCGGATTCTATGAAAAGGAACTGCAGAAGACCGCTCTCTGAGTGTCGGATTTTGAGGAGCCCGTTCTAGGACTTTTATCCAGTTCTAGGACTTTTAACCCGTTCTGGGACTTCACCCTCACCCTGGCCTCGAAACCGTAAAAACATAACTACTCATATGGACGATAGAATGTAATTTATTTGAAAGCATATTCAACGGTTGGAGGGATCAGGTAACATAGCTAAATTTAAAGTAAGGCTGGTATATAATTTATCTGTGTGTTAGCTGTTATGATCAGCAAACTATAAATATTCTTATCTATTTGCACGTGGGGAAGATAATAAAATGTTCACGATCCTTACATACGGATGCACTTCTTACATACCTTATTTACGTACTTTTAAAATTAAAAAAATCTATATAATATTAGATGTTAGGGTCCAGCGTCCCTGTACTACCGTTAACCACAATATTATGGAGGGGGTTATATATTAATCGCTCAACAATACGCGGTCCTAATTAATTGGGCACAGGACTATGCAACAATGTTATGCCAGCATGTTATTTATGTGTCTGTTACACAATATTGAATAACAGTTGTGGGTTGTTAGAATATTAAAACATTCACTAAATGTTAACGTAAATAAAATTAAGCTAATTAGGGACTATGGTCGAATACATTAAATGCGTATATTGAATTGACCCTAAATTACTGCTATAGGTATGATATAAATATCAAATTGAGAGATTCAATAAAATGGTAATTCTAAAGTCCATTAGTGATAAAAGCGTCCATTTGCTTGCTTGAGAGCTTTTTGTAATAATACTAAACTATTCTACAACGGCGATGGTAAGATATGTTTGATATTACGAATACTTTTATGTATACACTACAAAAACTATACGACTTTATGATTTATTTGTAATAGCAATTAATTGTCAATTTTCAAAGAGCAAGAATTTACCCCCAATTGCACCCTAACGAGAAAAAGGAAACAATCTTTCTTTACTATGATAAAATTACAAATAAATAATAGTTTGAATTACAAATGACCTACTTCCTATATTTTCAAGTGTTTTTAAAGTAAGTCTAAAACACTTTCAACACCTTCTTCTGGGGATCTGGCTCATACATTAGGTTTACAGCCGTAAATTTTTGTTATACATGTATTGTGCAGAATTACTGTATTCTGTAGACCTCCCTACACCTACTGCAACATATTAATTTTTACTAAAAGTAGCCTATTTGTAAAACTGACTAAAACGCGGACTTATGTTTAATCTTAAGTTTTAGGTTACTTAATTACCGTCTCAGACCCCTTTCATTACGGTAATTTAAAATATAAGTGAAGTCAAAAGCTGACACCAATCTTCAAAGGCCTATGTAAAAAATTTGCAAAAATCTGAACGTTAACACATCCGAATTTGAAATTATAAAGCCTGATATGAAAGACCTTTGTTCAGGTAGATAATTGTATAATTGGCATATTTTTAAGCTCATTATCAATCTATTGACAAGATCTTTTGGTCGATTTGTAAATTTTCAGAAAT